TAACCTCCGGCACGCGACAGTCCCACTCAAATTGGTATCGAACCAACGTCACGTTGATTCTGGTGAGAGAGTAGTGTAGTGTCATTGGAAGATAACCACACAATCCTCAAAGCTGAACACGAGACTACTCGGAAAATAGATATTCAATATTTAACGCGGAGAAATACAGAAGAATGGAGAAGGCGGGGAGAAGGAACTGAATTAATCGGAGTTAATCTTATGGCATGGCTCGACCATGCAGGCGTGGTCCCTCCTGAATTTCACCTTATATTTTTTATTCATATTAAATATATTGTCCTATCTCTGGCCTAAGTTTGTTCTCTATCATGTATTGGTAATTGTTACGATGCAATGAGTCGGTGTAGATGATGATGTGACTTCCGCGTAAGATCTTATAGATTGGGCAGTTACATCATAACAGATCTACAATTTTAGGATTAGGTCTATTATTAGAGCAGCGCTAATATCATACTAGACCGTAATTCTACAGATCCCAGTTAGCGACCGACGTCTGTTGGCAGGAAATGCTTCCAGAGCTGTAGCCGCCATATGGAAGGATAGGAAAGTTATTCTCATTAGTCGGGGTCTAGGATCCCCGTCCTTCTTGGCTAGTCTCATCACATGCTTTTGAGCCTCAAGGACTGTTTGATGAGTTTCCATTCCCGAATGTCAGAGTTTGCTTGACTAGGGTCCATGATTTCCGGTCCACCTTGCACAATGATATTTCTTCCGCGGAAAAACTTCTCTCGAGAATCTTCAGGGACATTTCGGATGAGATTGCGCTCAGAATATGGTATGTCAGGCAGTATTCTGACGTTCCCATCGGATTTCAGTAGATGACTGGCTAGCAGGACATCCTCTACTTCGGTGGCATTCTTGAGTGTTACACGGAGTAGTCTCGGGTGATTTTGATGTTTAGAATCCTTTCCCCGAGTGAGCCGTGTGACCGTCAAAGGCTCTATTCTAGGAAGTTCAAGCTTTTTGTTCAGTTCACCCCAAAGCATCCTGTCATTTTTGTCCTGCAAACTGAGAGGAAGATTAGGGCTGTCTATGAGGTTCATGATTATGAGAGAGTCGTCACGGACCGTTGTTGTTTTCCCAGCTCTTCCAGTGCGTTCAGGTTCAGTACGTTGTTGTTTGGAGGTCGAAGCAGGTTTTTGAATCGTAGGCTTTTTAATAACCGGGCGGACATTTTTGGGGGTAGACTGAGCGATCAAAGCACCAGTTGATGTCCGTACAACACTTGGGATGTCAACCTTGGACGGTGACACCTGGTCCTTACTAGCTCTGTTGGCGTGGGTGCAGTCACCTGCAGAGTTTTTGGGAACCACTGTTGCGTTTAAGGACCCTGAACTGGGAGATCCAATTTTAGTGAGGGAATCAATTATTGTCGACGTGATGATGGTGCTGAGTTTCAACATGTCATCATTAGTGCTAATGCGCGTTCCATCGATGGTTGACTTGTCAACATCCCTGTTCTTATTTTCGTTACGCGCCCTCGTTTGCCTACCTATTTTATGGCTATCTGTTTCCAAGTTTACTGACAATTTATTCCGCAGACCTCTCAGTAGAACAATGATATTGCTCAGCAGCACTACAGCGTTCGTGTTGCACGTAACGCACACCCACTTATGGTCCGATTTGCTGAGTCTCTTGTAAGCCAGTGCCGTAAGATCTGTGCACGTTTCGTGAAACCAACCTTTGCAGTTGTCACACTGCATGCCAGATGTAACAGCGAAACGGCATCCAGCCAAGAAGGACGGGGATCCTAGACCCCGACTAATGAGGATAACGTTTCCATCCTCCCGTATGGCGGCTGCAACTCTGGAAGCATTTCCTGCCAACAGACGTCGGTTGCCAACTGGGATCCATATGCACCCGGATAGGCCATACGACGCCAGGATCAAGCACAAAGGCAAGCTGGAACTGACTATTCCACTTGTGGACTGTCTTCAAGACAAAAAAAACGTGTAAAGGACAGGGCCTACCAATTTGACAAAACTTATATAGGTGGGTTACCTGTCCATTCACGCAAGGCTCTCACAGACAAACAGGAAGAAGCTCACGCGTTTCAAATTGAAAGCATTAACTGCCTATACATGAACGCCGCGAGTCAACCAAACAAAATGGATGAACTAAGTGAACTTAGCAACGCTAATAAAGTTCATCTGATAGGAATATCTGAAACTTGGATATCTCTTCAGTATTCGGACCAGGAGCTAGCAATACCTGGGATGTCTCTTTTTCGCAATGACAGAGAAACAGGAATTGAGGGTAGAGTAGCCCTATACTTACGATCTGGCTTGGTGTAACCAAGTTCACAACCATGAGTTTGACAATCTTGAGGAATCCATATGGTGCCCTGTAAGATTGTCCACTACTTCGAGGTGCCTAGTCGGAGTCATATATAGGAAGCCCATTGCCGACATCGAGTATGACAGTCGCATGCTGGAAGGACTATCCCGCTCTACGCGTCTCGGCTTCACTCATATCCTGATCCTAGGGGACTTCAATCTGCCTAGAGTCAACTTCGCGGAACATACGTATACTGGAGGTGGAAATTCAATCGAAGCTCGGTTCTTCAACCTCATTGAGGACTTGGGACTACACGAATATGTGAAGTTGGCTACTCGTTGGAGGAACAGTCAGACACCGTCGCGCTTAGATTGTGTTTTTACAAATGGAGAATTTCTAGTTGACAACCTCTCAATTCTGGCTCTCCTGGGGAAAAGCGATCACGCCGTTATAGCCTTCAGTTTCGTCAGCAAAACTGTGTTAAGATATCACAACAACAACAGGAGCTGGAACTTCAAACGGTTGAAGGCGTCAGCTCTACAGGACTATCTACAACAGGTGGATTGGGATGTTCACCCTCAACTTGATGTGGATGCTCATTGGGACTCCTTACTGCACACGCTCTCATGTGCTACTAAGCAGTCAGTTCCTCAAACGGTCTTCAAAAGGCACAAGCAACCTACAATCATCAAGAACCGCACTCTTCGTTTGTTAAGCCGTAAAAGGCACTGTTGGGCAGAATACAAACGAACTGACAACAACGGCGAGTACAGGCAATACAAACATGTAAGGAACAAATGCACGAAGGCTGTAAGAGAAGACAGGCTTCAGTACCAGTTAAAGCTTATGGATAAATTTATTTCCAATCCGAAAAGCTTATTCCGTTACGCAGCCACTCTTTGTCATGCCAAAACTGGAGTATCTCAACCGCCAGGTCCTAACGGCCCGACAGATAATGACGGTGACGCCGCTAACCTTCTGGCTGAGAAATACTCCCGGACATTTCAACCGATCCACACTAACTATACTGGTGATGGCTCTATCTGCAACTGCACAGGACTTTCCGTAGTGAAACTGAGCGCTGACTTGGTGTTCCGTAAATTACAACACCTAAGAACAGACACTTCTCCTGGTCCAGATATGGTCCACTCTGCTATACTGAGGGAAGCAGCTTCAATCCTGGCAACACCGCTTAGCGTGATGTTCTCACACTCGCTAAGTCGGGGCAAACTACCGGATATTTGGAAGCTGGCTCATATCACACCAATCTTCAAAGGAGGTCGACGCAGCGAACCATCAAGTTACCGACCGATGGCCCTTCTCTCTATACCTCCAAAAATCATGGAGTCACTGGTATACGATGGTATACATGACTATCTACTGTTCTTAAATTTCTTCTCACCCCAGCAGCATGGTTTCAGGAAGGGTCAATCCTGTATGACAAACCTGCTGACTGAGGTGGACAATGGACAAGAATCGTTGATCGCAAGGGGAAGGTGGACATCATTTACCTTGATTTCTCCAAAGCTTTTGATAGGGTTAACCACACATGTCTTATTAACAAGCTCAAACAATTGGGTATCAAACAACCTTTAATTGACTGGCTCAGTTCATATCTCACAAATCGACATTTTAAGGTCAGGGTAAACTTCAATTTATCACAGACTATGGAATGTTCTAGTGGGGTCCCCCAGGTCTCAGTACTAGGACTTCTTCTCTTCCTGATTTATATAAATGGTCTTCGTCAACAGGTATCGTCAGACTTATTACTGTTTGTCGATGACGTGAAACTTTGGAGAGAGATACGCAACCAAGAGGACATACAGGCATTTCAGGTGGATCTGACTCGACTTCAAAGTTGGGCAGACGATAACGGACTTACCTTTAACACTTCAAAGTGTAAAGTAGTCCATCTGCGACGTGTCGCCGACTGCAGTTACAACTTAGGAAACTCCTCTCTAGTAGTATCCCGAGTCGAAAAAGATTTAGGAGTTCTGGTGCCCTACGACTTAAAGTCTTACGCCAACTGTGACAAAAATGCCTTTTGAGCAAACCTTGCACTGGTAACGTTGAAGCGCATTATTGGTCAGTTTGACGGAAGAACTTTCCACATAATCTTCAATAGTTTCATTCGTCCCCATTTAGAGTACGGGAACATAGTATTCCCTCCTACACTCCAAAAGGATAAGGACACTCTGGAGCGTATCCAACGGCGAGCCACGAAATCAGTTCGGGGACTCAAATTTAAACCTTACGATGAGCGCCTCCAATCACTCGACCTTTACCCATTAGAGTATAGGCGTCTTAGAGGTGACATTCTAATGGTTAACAGTATCCTTAACACACCTGGACACCCTCTTAAACACCTACTTAAGCTTAGTCCCAACACTAATCTAAGGGGTAACACCCAAAAACTGGAGATACAACATAGTAGAACGGACTGCAGACACAATTTCTACTCCTTAAGAGTTGTCAAATGCTGGAATTCGCTGCCAGCTGAGCTAGTCCAAGCAACTTCCCAGGAGTCCTTTAAGAGGCGACTTGATCTATTCTTAAGGACTAAGGATAGTATCCTACTATGATTTACCAATTCATTTTCTTTCTCTTTTATCGTTAATATACCTAGGTTATTGCCTGGAGGTATTGGTGATCCCCTGCTACTGGACACGGAAGCCTGTTAAGCGAAAGCTTCTTCTATTCCGTCCGCAACCATTTGAACCATTTGAACCATTTGAACCACTTTCGTGGTACTTTCATTTGTGCGCTACGCTGATGGCCAAAAGCAATAATTCTGTTTTCGACCCATGGAATACTTTTTATGAAACTCCAGAAGAGCAAGCTGCCATTAAACAAAGAGCGAAAATGAGAGATGCAATGAAGGCTGAGTACAGGAAACGATATACAAATCCATTCAACCCCCCAATGGGTCATTTGGTAAACATTTTAGTATTATGATAATATTAAGTTTTAACTCAAGTTTTGTAGTTTTCGAAGTTTTGTGTGTTTCGTTTTCACTGTCAAATATGAGTAGGTTATAAACATATTGGTGACCGGATGGTGTATATTTATGTAGTCTTCAGTCATCAGTAATAAGTATAGTTGGTTGGTGGACCTATGTTAAACCTAACAGTTTACCCTCCAGTGAAAATCCAGCTTTCCTTGAAACTGTTCACTGGTGGGGCTGATACTACTTGTCCGGGTCAGGTGTTCCAGTTATTGACCACTCGATGAGGAAAACAGGACCCCACTTTAAGTTTATTAGATCGCATGCGATTTTCTCCCTCGAAATGCAAAATGTTGCTTCAGGATTAGGTTGCGTCGACACCCGAACTAGTGATAGGGAGTGAAGTCGTTGAGCGTGTCGACCGCTTCACTTATCTCGGAAGTCTCATCAGCCCTTGTGGTTTGGTGTGTGACGAAATCTCAGCACGGATACAAAAGGCTCGACTAGCTCTTGCCAACTTGCGTCATTTGTGGCGTAGGCGAGATATTCGTCTATCAACCAAAGGACGTGTTTACTGCGCAGCAGTTCGTTCCGTCCTACTTTATGGCAGTGAAACATGGCCAGTAAGAGTAGAGGATATTCGTAGGTTACTAGTATTTGACCATAGGTGTCTTCGAAACATCGCTCGTATATCCTGGGACCACCGAGTAACTAATGCAGTTCTTAGGAAACGGGTACTAGGTAAGGATGGCAAATCAATTGAGGAAGTAGTGAAACTTAATCAGTTGAGATGGCTGGGACATGTGCTGCGCATGCCCGACCACCGACTGCCCCGACGTGCGATGTTTTATGGTGTAGGAGTAAGTTGGAAGAAGGCTAGGGGCGGCCAGACCAAAACATGGCACAAATCCATGAAGTCACTGACAAGTGGACTGAGCCATGTTGGTAGGTGTAGACTACCTGGTTGGGGACCGCGAGATGATTGCAACCGATGGTTAGAGACCTTGAATGACATGGCTCAAAATCGTTTGCAATGGCGCAGGTGCATCCACTCTTTGTGTCCTCTCAAACTCTAATCTTCTGAATTCTTCATGTCCTTTATTTTCTTTCCAAATATATTCCACTGGACTATACTCCTTAAATAATATCATCAAACCTTAACGTTCCCTGTCACTACTTATACTTTCAGTACCTCTACCACTATGGGATTTGAATCGATAACTGAATCTCTGTGCTAATGTGGTATGGCAACTCGAACTGATGTACGTACGTACGAAGTTCCACGTTGTTACTGACTGACTTATTAGATCGCGGTTTGTGAACCTTCGTGTTATTACCGCGGAGATTAATAATGCTGGAGGGAGCAAAAAGATAAGACATATTAACACCCAAATCGTAATTAAAGATATAAAATGCCAGTATAAGGTCACCTCGCGTCCTACGATACGACAAACGGGAAGGTTTAAACGCTCGACGTAAGACCCTTCACTAGTTTCGTTTTCACACGCTGAACATGCTCAAGTGAGTTAGTATCCTTAGTCAGACATGAGCTATCTGCTTGGATAAAGTACTCTAATTGTCGTCTTACATAGGTGGGATATAAAATTCAAAACATTTCCACGTCGAAGCATTTGAATGCTCGGCGAAGTGACCATAACGCACGGAAACCTTTGAAGGCATCTGCCTTGCAACGAGTAATTGTTTACACTTCGTGACTTACTATTACTGTCAAGTCTTTATGTTCTTGAACGCATGGAAGATGTACCATCAATAGTATAATGTTAATTATTACCGTATCCGATGATCATGAGCACAATATTGAATAGTGTATACATCGGGTCACCAAATGATATGGCACATGTGGGTTAAGAGCGGTAAGGATATACATAGTTCGTCTCTTATTCTTCATTGGATGTCCACGGTCTACATTTAGTGGTCATCGATTTCGATGGAATACTGGAGAGTCATGCTACGTTTTTAACTTTAGTAAAGAATCAATTATCTTGAAGTTTAGTCATGTATTAAGACAGCTTCAGAATTATTCTTAGTACCACTTGATGGCCATTCCTCATCGTTAAGCGATATATAATTTACAGTGTAGTTCAAAATCCTTTTGTTCCGCGCATAGAACATAGTGATTTCACCTCTTACCTGGTTAGTTCTGGGTTCCGTTTAAACCTTTCTCATACCTATCTACTTGCATTTGTTAACTTCCATACTATGAGTTCCTACTTAAGCATGCTTCAGACATCTCGTCCTGTTTGAGAGGAGTTCACAAGGGAGCTAATGTGACTCGTTCAGCGCTTCATCACATGCATGCTTTCACATACTTTGTTTAAAACATGCAAGGTTTTTACCTTTGGTCCTCCGTAAGAAAGTTCGGATGGAAGTGGTCTATGTTAATGCCTAGAGATTTTAATCCTATAAAGATATATTCTCGACTTAAATCACCAACATGTGGCTAAAGTAGCTGATTTTGTAGAGAAATACAGCAGTGCATTACCCAGTGCAAAATAAACGAACTTCTCTACATAAACGGTTTGGTACCGACTTTTGAACTTTCTTAAGGTTTCGTCTCTAATGAGAGACTGGTGCCAAAATATTCTTTCATCCTACGATACTCTAATATGATATTAGATCCTATAGTAATATTGTAGGAAGAGATCAAAATATTTTGTGGTTGATTCAGGTTACAACACATTTACTTGTACCCTCTCCTAAGGGTCATCAATTTGTCTAGCCAACTGGTGCGTTTGATCTGACTTGTAACAACATCTTGTCGTCGTTGTTATGGTTTTTTAGTGGAAGTATATGGACAACCTTAAACCAGTTTCTGACCAGTAAGGGAAATGTTTATTTATGAAATTGTGAGGGCCTTCTTTACCAACCGTTATTAACTATAGTGTAAGAATAAATTTTCATAACGAAATATGGTTGATCCATTCATTCACTGCTCCTGGTTTTCAATATGTGCAAATATCAATATGGACGAGTCTATGAACACTGGTAGGTCACAAAAATAAAAAAGATATGAAGTTCTCCTTTGAGATACTTCACTCTTCGCTGGCTTCCATCAAGATAGAATGTTATTCGCTACCACTTCGGTGTGTATTTTTAAAAAGTTGTCTATTGATCTAATTTTACATTTAACTCCAAAATTTTTCAGCTTGATTTTAAGCGTTATATGAGAAAATTTATCATCAGCTAAATTAGGATTCATAGATCCTAAATCTATGGATGTATTTATATTCCTAGCTTCAGCTCAGTCTATGAAATAAGTAACCCTCTCTAAATAAATGTTGCTTGGTTAAATCATTATTACTTTCTACATGACGCTGAGTAGCAGCGCGAATTATCATTCTCAATATGTTGAGTACTACACTAATAAAATCAACTTCATTTTATTCATTTACCAAGTGCTTCTGTTTTACAGATAACCATATTTAAAATCGTTTCGTTGTGTATTTATTAATGGAAACAAGACAGTAAACTATGGATGTGTGGTTGAAAATGAGTTTATTACTACTTAAGATGCTGGCTACATACTGAGCAAAAACTATTACAAAATAAAAACTTTGTAGATAGGGTTATTAAGTCTCCACAATTCATCAGGTGTTAGAACAAATATCGCGAACGACAAATTTTTGTGTTTAATATTGAGATCGCCTTTAATTTGTTTGATAGGACCAATGTTTGTAAATATGATGTGAGATACACAGCGTTAATCTATGTTTATTGTTTAGTCATGGGAATATATGTAGTAAGTACTATACTATACACCTTCAGAACCCTAAACTTTTGACATATCACTTAGTATTAGTGATTGAAATTACCACTCAAAGGTAGTTACATATTTTGGAATTTTAGTTCCAACCTGTTGTTATGGATTTTTTAACTCATTATTTAAACCTTCAAGCTTTATATTAAGAGTTGTGTTTTGTGGTGTTTGACACCATCGGTTTATAATCTATTTTTAAGAAGATATTTATAGATCTTCGAACTGAAAAAAATTGGAAAAGTAGGGTTTCAGGGTTGGGTTGGAAATTTTTCTTATTCACTTTCAAGATATTCGGGATTTTTCATCGTAAGTACTTTTGTAGGAATGGTATTCACTTAAGGCATTTATCTTTAAGATATCCTGTAACATAACTTAATTAATGTATGAAGTTTGTTCGATTCTTTATTGATTTTATTTTCTCCTACGTTTGTCATATTTTTCAGCACGATCCTGCATTGCAACACCATTTTTCAGCCCAGGTTACATATGCAGAATATTTGCGTCCATCCCCCAAATTGGGATTAATCGCCCTTGGAGTTTTAGGCGTAGGGGGTCTAGCAATGGTAATAAGAGAAAGGTTTAAGGTATGGTGAACACCAGTACCAGTATTTTTGTATTTTATATCGTCCTTCGTTTTTTCCTTCTGGTGCCATCTAAATTGTTCGAATGCTTTTTCACTTTAATCATTTTCTAGTGCAGTTATATCCCGATTGTAGCTGATACCTACATTGATGTAGTGTTCAGGCTTGCCTATCGCGATGGCTCAATCGAGCTGGGCTGGCCTGAAACGGCTATTCCTGTGGGTCCTATCACGCCAGAGAGTTCGTTCGGAGAACCGTATGACTAAAAGCAGCGACTTGAGGTCCGATGGCGATTGCTTACTGCTGACTGTACGGAGGTGTAGCGGTACGAAGGTGTTTCTCTCAAACCACCAGTTTTCTTTTCATACATGAAGAGCAACTATCGTTTTACGGTACGAGAAACCATAAAGTGTCAATCGCTTTCATACCTCTAACCCGTGACCATCTTGTTCACGACCAAATTCCATCGACACTTCCTAATATTTCTCCTGTTCCCATGATAGACTCCTATACTATGACTGTCTATATCTCCAGCGAAGTTTATTCCCTCTTCTTGATTAGGCTCCGAGTTGGTTCCGTTAATAATCACTTCTCTTAATAGAAATATCCGTTTCTAATAACAAGTAAATTGTCCCTATTTAGCTATTTAAGTACTCGTTCTACAGTTTGATTGTGAAATATTGGTAAAGAGTGCTGGCTGTGTTGTTCGAAAAGTACATTATTGATATATCTTTGTATCTTTCGTTTATTTTGTACTTGTATCCACCCAAACAGCATCACTTTTATACAAGTATTATCGTGTTTTGACTTATTTAAAGAATCTAATTACACGGGACTACTGAAATTCCAAAACTTCTGCTATTCACAACTTCCAATGTTTGGATCTTATGTCAAATTGAACAACAGGCTCGCTTAACCAGGACTTTGGCATCTCGCACCATCGATGTACGTCGTGTCTCCCGAACATCCATGTAAGATAGAAGTACGGTTGTTCACTTGACCTCACCTAGTCAGTATAAAGGATCAGCTCAGTTTGTCCTCCATGTATCTGGGAGATCGACATATACTTCTTGTGGTCTTGTGGTATATCACTAAGTTAAAAAGCAGAATAGGTTCTCTTAAACAGGATTATGATAAACAATTGCTTGTGCGCTGTCCGATTAAACGGGACAGTAACAAATCAGAAAGGTAGGGACATACATCACTTTTTAGTTCAGGTTGCTCCATACGGTCTCACTCAATGCAGCTCAAATAAAGTAAAAGACAAATTTTATAGAAAACTTTTCATCTTCCAGAAGCTAAATGCTTAGATATAGTAATAACAGAGGGTGATTTTAATGTCCAGTTAAGTGGTCTAAAGCAGACTGAATGGCATCTGTGTGGGTCTCACAGTATCGTAGCTCACCGATAGGTAGTGACGACTGACTACTGCAACTATGTTCAGACAACCGTTTATTTCGAACAGGCACCAGCTTTAAGCATAATGAAAGTCATCGTCCAACATGACGGCCCGCAAGATGGACAACTTAGTAGATTTATATGAAACCCACGCAGTAACCCTGAGCAGTGGTAGTAGCGAAAGTAAAAGAAATGGAAAAGCCAGGGGGGATAGATAAATGTAGACAACTATTCAGACTCATTAAGGAAACGGGTGTTAAAAATCCAACTGTTAGTGAAACTATTTCGTAAAACGATGTGACCACTATTCACTCTCGATCCGGTAGATTAGACTGATAGCTAAAACATTTCAAGCAACAGTTGAGCTCCAATTACACTCTATTTGCCCAATATTTCCAGACAACCTAAATGGTAATTTGACGCAAGCTTCTAACTCTTAGTGGGTTTGAAAAGGCCGTAGGCAACCTAAAGCAAGGTAGGGCTTCGAGTGCAGATGTAATCGTGCTGGTGATCTTTAAGGATGGGGTCTAGTTTAAGCAGTAAGACTGAGATCTTAGAATTTGGGAACTGGACATGATTTCATTTGACTAGTCTGAATTGCTGATCGTCCCAGTTTATGAGAAAGAACAAAATTCCTCTTGCAACAACCACAGAGGAATTAGCTTGATTAATATATTGTCCAGAATAATAATTTCTGTAATCACTCAACTGTTAACTAAGGCCGGTGAAGAGAAAACTTGAGGAAGACAATCTGGTTTCAGACCTGAACGTGAATATGTAGACCAAATCTTCACTCTTCGTCAAGTTTTAGAACATAGATATACTTTCCGACGCTGAACTATAATTGCATTCTTTACTCTTAAAGCAGCGTTCGCCCCTGTTGATCATTAGTTTTTGTGGCAATGGTTGTTTTTAAAAGGTTTCCCGAGGAAGAACGTCAACCTTACGCAGGCTCTTTACCCGAACACTGCAGGTCCAGTAAGAGCTTATAGCGAACTGTCATCAGAATTGCCAACTTCAAATGTGCGGGCGGTTATCGTTCCTGAAGAGATTTTAGTATTTCTAATAAAATTTAAGTATTCTTGTAACTGCCTTAGCAGTTCATCAGGGTTGTCCACTTTATTTATATCTGACTTCTTCATAGACATCCCTTTAGAAACAATACTTGTCTAACTTTTTAGAGGTTGGCCTCGTAACATGAAATTCACTCATCGATTTTCAATACCCAGATAATATGATTCTCTTCGGTGAAAGCGCTGACAAAGCGTAGAGTTTCATGACCACCTTAAGCAGTAGTGCCAGCATGTTTGGGATGAGATTCGTTCCCCTTAAATGTAAAATATTTCTTCAGGACTTCAATACTTCAGTTAGTAATAGAAAGTGACGTAGTTGCATGCGTTAACCACTTCACTTATCTTGTAAATCTTACCAGATCTGATGTTCTGGTGTCTGACAAAATCTCAACACTAATCCAAAAAGTTCTTTTTAACTAACTTGTTTAACCTGTGGTTTAGGCAAACCGTTCGTCTACCAAACCAAAGAAAGAGTTTACCTTGCAGTAGTTCACTCTCTTCTATTTTATGGGTGTCGAAAATGGCCATTAGGAAGAAAGGATATTTATAGGTTACTGGTATTCGATCATAGGCGTCTTCGAATCATTGCTCGTGTATTTTGAGACTTCAGAGTGAGTAGTGCTAAAGTTAGGCATAGGGGACTTGTGGGAGATGTAATCACAATTGATTGATCACTGGGTGACCAATGTCGTGCGTGTCTAGTCCTTATTATTAGTGCAGATCGAATGCTATCGATCATGTTGCAATGTGGCCACCAGTCTAGGTGACTCGACACTGCGGGCACTATTGTGAGATTACAGGTACACCTTGCTGACGAGTGCCAAGTAGCACGAAACCCGGGTCCAGGGTTTCCTGTCGACTACCTCCAATCACCATCTAACTTGTGGGAGATAGAAAATTGGTTGATGAGGTAGTGAATCTTTATCAAATGAAGCGGTTGGGACATATGTTACTTATATCCAACTACCCCTTACCTTGGCGCGTAATGTCTGGTGTAGGAGTAGGCTGAGAGAAAGCTACGGGCGCTCAAAACAAGGGATGGTATAAGTTAATGAAGTCGCTGACCGTTGGATTAAGTCATGTAGGTAAGTGTAGATTACCTGATTGGGGTCCACGTAATTATCGTAACCAATCGTTAGAGACTGGGTGACATGGCTCAGAATTGTCCATAATGGTGCAGGTGCATTCTCATTTTATCTTCCTTTAGTTCTTGAATCCCGAGATCCCACACTTTTTTGTTCCGATTATTTTCTACTACTGATACTGGTTATCACTTCTAGTACTTTGGGATTTGTCTTGATAATTTTATCTTGCAGTTCCCATGTGGTGTTGCAACTTAGGTCGACTAGTATATCAGGTTCTACGTTGTGTATGATTGACTGACAGATGCGTTAGTCACTTAGTGTTATGTTGTGGAATATGTTGCTAGGCAATTCAAATATGATAGAATCGACTTGAGCTAAACATTCCAATACTTTTGAATATTTTAGCAACATATTGTCTAACCAAACAAATATAATGTTGTTTTAACGACGTAATTTTACTCGAATGAAGAGACCATTAATAATTAAGTACACACATGTGGCAATCGAAAAATGTGTTAGTAATAATTTATAGGATTATTGATTTTATGTATTTCACGTCGTTGTGTGTATTTATTCTCTGTCACCGTAATCGTAATTTAGGAGGGAAATCAGTATTGTTCTTTTTAATTAAAGTTCAAACAATAATCCAGTATAAATTGTTATAAAGCAATTTTAGATTGTTTAACACTTATTAGTTTTCACATGCTTATATTGTATTCGATTCAATATCATATTGTTATTTGACTTTTGTTTTTCCTAATAGAAACGCCGGTTCCAAGAATATGATTGTGGTGAATTGACTTATCGAGAAAGATGGGGAGGAAATACATGGTTATAAAACTCTGTATGACTTCTTTTAACTTTGTAACCAATACATTAGTTAATTGAAATAAATTAGATCACCTTGTAACCATACTTTTTTTTCAACCTTATAAGTATGTTTAATATAAAAAAAATATAACACTAAATAATCAACATTATTTGTTGGGAAAAGTGAATGTTTTCAATTAGGTTTAAACTATGAACCTACTCAGCTTACAAAACTTGAAACCAATAAAAATTTGTCACCCATTTTATTTTTTTATTAAGCTAGCATTTCGATTGTCGTTCGGTTTTTAGTTATATTTCTAATTTTAATTTAACCATCTTAACCTAAAAGTACTCAAAATACATCTTTCTACTGTTTTAATATTGTATTTCAATGTTTTTCAAACAACTTGATTTTTTTGACATGTGGTTTCTGCATACAAATATATGCCCCCAAATGCCCTAGTACGGCCAAGAGTGGGGAGAGTTAGCTCTCCCTCTCGAAATGCTCTCACATGGCCACCGTATATAGCCTCTGCCTGAGAAGTCCTGCCCACTGCCTTCTCGTGGCGGGGGTGTTTTTTACGAAATTGGAAGGACGAAGAGCGAATGTCCGGTGCTTTAACCGGGTTGGCGGACATGGAGAGTCCACCTAGGGGAGTTGGAAAACCTTGATTCTAAATAAATCGTGCACATGGGCTCCAGTATCTTGAGGGAACAAATGGCGTACGAATCAATCGTTGGTCACCGGCTACCATGGTACTGCATCTCCTTACAATGCTCCACTGCCTTGTGGATCAGACCTTTAGGTCGAAGGCTTCGGATGTGACCCCCTGAAAAAAACACCTTCGGTTTGGGCACCCGGGAAGTCTCACAACCCTAACACAAATCAAATGAGATTTGTGTGGCACATGTATTTGGTGCCTCATTGTATCAATATCTATGTGTTCACATAATAATATTAATGCAAATATATAAACGTATTTATTAATTTTCATAATTAATACAGCGTCAAATAAGTTATATTTGTGTGCGTTTTCCGGTGATTTTTCTCTATACCCCTATACTATATTGGTGTAGATTATTTTTAACCTTTTTTCTTGGAAGTATTTATTCAAATTAATAAGTTTGTAATGTAAGTTTGTTCTCAGTAAAATGAATCTGTTCTCCTTTTCTTATTATAACATGGCCGGATTATTCAGAAGTTGCAATTTTTTGAATGGGCTAGATGTTTTTAAGTTGTAAATGGTGAGGAATTTTTTAACACTGGTCAACATTAATTTAAACTGTCAGCATAGGGTTTTGGAGATTGTTTAGTTTCACTGAAACCATGAATTGATCAGTGTGTTAGACCACCACCGACAACCTGGAAGTCCTGTAGGTTAGACGTTTGCGCGCGGTACCAAACGTCTCGGGTTCGATTCCCGCGTGCGGGGTTGCGGATACCTGCTTTTGAGGAGTCTCATACTGAGACGAAAAAGCTGTCCAATGCTTCCAGGTTTTCAATGGCGGTCTAACATTGATCGGTTCATGGTTTCAATTAAATTGGATGTTGTGGAAATTTTCTTGTTGTAAATACATATGTATAGTTCTAGTGCTTTCTGGGCGTTTGTGGATTGAACATTCGGATAGTCAGAAAAAACATGAAATGGACCTGGTTACTTCGTGTCTATCACTTCCAAACACTCAATTGATTTTTCAAATGTACGTTTGAATAATATAAGTCTTAAGAAAGAGTTGTCTGTGTACCATGATGCTGTATTTATTAATTTCTTCATGTGTACAATTCAATTTAATATATAGATTACAAAGCTATTTACTTGGAAAAGAACTATTGATTGGTATTATCTACATGAAGCTAGTGTTGACTTGCTTCGGAATTATATTGATTTATCACCTAGTATCGTATTCTCATTTTCATTTGAGCTTCTGTACAACTAGATTTGTAATTCATGACTAAATTCAACGTTTGTTGAATATCTCAACATAAATGGTTGGCAATTAGAAGTCTTGGCGATGGTAAGAAACAATCAGGCTTTCCATGATTTCTTATCAATAGACAAATATACTGCGCAACATTTAGCACTGAATTATCGTACAGTTTTAGAAAATACTCCTTCAAAGTAAAAGAGATGGTTAAATTGCAAGTGTTGGATTATGTGTATCTTTGAAACATTGCTGTTAGTATGTTGCCTACCATATAAATAAGTTGCAAAATGATTAAGTTGAAGCCATTGGTTTGGGTCTGATTTTTGTCGAGGGGACTATCTGTTTTTGGTTGAGTTTTGTGACATGATCATAATTTTTAGTTGATTACTTGAGATATTGTAGTTCAAAATCAGTCACAGTGGCACGCTCATTTATTCTTTCTTTTCGTCTAAATATTTACCCTAGTATTTGGCAAAAAACTTCCTATCCCTTTAATTTGTTCTTTCTTTTTGAACAGCGTTTTCATTATTTAGCTTAGCAATACCATGAAAATGACTTTCTACTTTGCATTTCATCTTGTTTATTCCTTGTCATGCCTATATAAAACGTGACAATTGAAACTGATCCAAATGTGTTTCAGTTCTTACATTGTTAATATCTATGTGTTATGGGAACGGAGTAGTTCTGCACCGTGTCCCCGTAGATACAATCAAAGGATTATTTAAGTGGTCTATATGGTGATTAAACGTTTATTGAATTTGATCAAGTAAATTTGTCTGAAAGTAGGAATTTTGACGATTATGCTATGTAGATTATATGAATAAATAAACCTTTTGATGTGGAAAATAGGAAATTAGCATTATTGAATAATAAAAATGATTGAATTAAAACTCTGACTATATTAGCTTAGTTATTCAGAAAATTTCTGTTTTAGTGAATGGATTCATCTGATGTAGTATCTCATGGACTAGTTATTGATTAATGGTATGTTCGGAAATAACAAAAACCTCACATCCAAACTTTATAAGAAGCCTTATAATTTACGAAATACTTGTGGAGTAAATATCTCTTCGTATTTTGTTAGAAACTCCGCCTGTAGCTCTCCTAGAGTTACTGCCGGTCCCAAGCACGGATAAAGGAGGAGGGTTGGGCATGGGGTTAGCGTCCCCATCCCGTAGAAAACTAACTCGCTAAAAAAATGATAACCAGAAAAAATAACTCAAACCATTTAAACTCTGCCCTGGGAGTTAGAAAGTCTTCATTTAAAAGAAATATGACGCCTTAGGGTGAAATCCGAGTTCCTTCGGAAGCCATAAGGCCGATGCCCCTTCTAACAACCAGAGCAACAATTTTTATAGGTACATGGAACGTCCGGACAATGTGGGAGAACGGGAAGACCAGTCAAATAGCAACTGAGATGAGGAGATACAACTTGGCAGTACTGGGAATGAGCGAAACCCATTGGACCCAAGCTGGACAACAAAGGCTAAATGCGGGAGAGATGCTGCTATACTCCAGTCACGAAGAGGAAAATGCCCAACATACTCAGGGAGTTGCTCTAATGCTGTCCAAAGTAGCACGAAATGCACTCGTAGGATGGAAATCTCACGGATCCAGAATCATCAAAGCATCATTCAAAACAAAGAAGGAGGGGATCACAATGAACATTATCCAATGTTATGCACCCACCAATGATAGCAACGACGAAGTTAAAGATCAATTCTATGAGAGGCTGCAATCAATCATAGAGAACTGCCCAAGAAAGGACCTCACCATTCTGATGGGAGATCTAAACGCCAAAGTCGGAATAGACAACACCGGATATGAAGATATCATGGGACTTCATGGACTAAGAGAGAGGAATGAAAACGGGGAAAGATTTGCAAATCTGTGTGCATTCAACAAATTAGTCATAGGTGGCATAATATTTCCACACAAACGTATACACAAAGCTACGTGGATCTCACCGGACCACACCACAGAGAACCAGATAGATCATATTTGCATCAATAAAAAGTTCCGAAGGACAATAGAAGATGTGAGAACTAGGAGAGGAGCGGACATAGCTTCAGATCACCACCTGGTTGTGGCCAATTTAAAACTGAAGCTAAAGAAGAATTGGACAACTGGACAAACAGCGCTGCAAAGATTCAATACAGCCTTCCTTCGAGATACTGACAAACTTAATGAATTCAAGATAGCTCTCAACGACAGGTTCCGAGCCCTACAGGATCTACTGAAGGAAGAAGAAACTACTATGGAGGATAACTGGAAAGGTATCAAAGAAGCATTAACTTCAACGTGTCAAGAGGTTCTGAGCCCCAAGAAGCATCATCACAAGGAATGGATCTCTATAGAAACACTGGACAGGATGAAAGAAAGGAAGAACAAGAAAACAGCAATTAAAAATAGTCGAACCCGAGCAGAGAAAGTCCAAGCACAAGCTGAATGAATAGAAGCAAACAAGCAAGTGAAGAAGAGCATTAGAGCCGACAGGCAGAAATACGTGGAAGAACTAGCAACGACGGCGGTGAAAGCTGCAAGAGAAGGAAATATGAAACAGTTTTCTGATACAACGAAGAAACTAGCAGGGAAATATAGTAAAGCAGAGAGACCAGTCAAAAACAAAGAAGGAAGACCGATCGCTGAGATTCAGCAACAGCGGAACAGATGGGCAGAGTACTTCGAGGAACTCCTGAATAGGCCGGCGCCAATGAATCCACCGAACTTCGAAGCAGCACACACAGATCTTCCTATAGATGTCAATCCACCAACGACGGAAGAAATCAGAATGGCCATCTGACAAATCAAGAGCGGAAAAGCAGCAGGACCCGACAATATACCAGCTGAAGCACTGAAGTCAGATTTGGGAAGAGGAACAAGTGCCGACGAACTGGAAGGAAGGACACCTTATCAAGATTCCAAAGAAAGGAGACCTGAGCAAGTGTGAAAATTACAGAGTCAGTCAGTCAGTCAGTAACAACGTAGAACTTCGTACGTACGTACATCAGTTCGAGTTGCCATACCACATTAGCACAGAGATTCAGTTATCGATTCAAATCCCATAGTGGTAGAGGTACTGAAAGTATAAGTAGTGACAGGGAACGTTAAGGTTTGATGATATTATTTAAGGAGTATAGTCCAGTGGAATATATTTGGAAAGAAAATAAAGGACATGAAGAATTCAGAAGATTAGAGTTTGAGAGAACACAAAGAGTGGATGCACCTGCGCCATTGCAAACGATTTTGAGCCATGTCATTCAAGGTCTCTAACCATCGGTTGCAATCATCTCGCGGTCCCCAACCAGGTAGTCTACACCTACCAACATGGCTCAGTCCACTTGTCAGTGACTT